AAAAAAGAAAATACATCAAATATCTTGTCCAATTACCCAAGTACATACATATAAATATGAGAAAAATTCATATGAATCACGAAAAAGCTAATAAGTGTGATGAAGAAAATTTCATGTAGTTCAATGTTATAAATTTATACCTGAAAGAAGAAAGAAGTTTCGCCACTGACTGGCTGACATCAGGTACTCGAACTACTGGTTTTTGTAATGCGTGTGTTAGTGAGCGCACCACCACCACCAGCCCACCTTCATCATCATCGCTGGAGAGAGCAGCGCGTACAAAATGCTTGGCTTTAAGTGATGTTCTTGCACAAAATATGTTTGTGTGCGAGCGTGTGTACATATGTTCATAGACGTTACAAAAAAAAAGTCTTAATGAATTATAAAAAAGGCAAAAGAGTAATTCAATTAAAATTTTATTACAACTTAAAAATCGAGTAAGGAATATTAAGTACGCGAAAAGCTTATTTGAACCACCGGTCGATTGTTTACATAAATTTAAGTGGTAAGATCGAAAATGTTGTGTAGGAAAATACGCTGGTTGCTCTATATTTGTACTAACGAGTTGTAATGGCTGACTGTTGTCATTGAAAAAAGAGCAGTGTTTAACAAAAGTGTTGCATTTAAGTACTATATGTACACATATATATACATATATATATGCACTTAAATATGTTAAAGTGAATCTGTCAGATAAGAAATATACAAAGTGAATGTATAAAAAGTGTCTACAAATACACTACCTGTGCGTTCGAAGTAAACACAACTAGTCACCTACATATATATGTACATATGTATGTACATACATATATAGTTGTTGTAAATGCATACTTTACAATCTTTATCTGTTGCGACAGAAAGTGGAAATGATTTTTTATTAAAAACCCAAGTGATAAATATTTATGGCTCACATACCTTAGTTAAGACATACGTAAACATGTAAAAAAATTAAATACATATGTACATATGTATTTATGTATGACCATATGTATGTACCACCATGTTAAGCCCCAAAGGGTGTGATAAAGTTGTCAAGATTGTTAAATCAATTTCTAACTTCTATTAAATTAGAAAATACAGCAGGTTGAAAAAAATATACATATTTCTCATTAAACATAACATGTGAAAGTAGTGTACATTAATGAATAAGCTTAGAATTTTAGTGCCGTGTTTAACATAAACAACAACAATAATAAGAACAACATTTTAAATTAGTGATCGTCACTCCCGTCAGTGGCTGGGTGCACAGTTTTTGTTTGATGACCTAAATGCTATAAAACTAAATACAAACAAGCAAGCAGCAAAACGAAAGTCAAAACATCAATGAAAACAACAGAATAACAACAGTAATTTAAAAGCGAACAACAGAATCTACATACATACATATGTATGAATATATCCTCCTCGGTCCTCGCGTGTAGCCCGCTGGACACTTTTTAAATGGACATATAATAAAAAATTTTAAATTTATTTCAATTCGATCCAATTTTATAGCCAGCTGGACATCTTAAGTTTATAATTGAATTGTTTTTTTTTGCGTTTGTGGCAATACTGTCGTAATACGATCCAAGAAGTGAACAGTTATTTGAAAAAACGTGTGGTCCTTGTGAACGTAATTTCAAATTAATATTTTCGCTATATTTCTTCAAATCAAGTTTAATATTTTATTAAATTCAATCGAAAAATACTTGTTCTTTAAGGTAAATAAAATATCTTTTAAATAAGTTTATTAAAATTCGGATATGAATACTGTTTCTTAAATGTTCAGTGGGCTGGACATTTGGTAGCTATCATGTCGAAAAAACGTTTTACGGAAGAAGAGGTGATGGAGATGCTCATGGACAGTGATTTTGAAGGTTTGTCCGACGATGAAGACTTGGAACTCGTTCCTAATTGTTAAGGGGAAACCCTGTCCTGTTGGTTTGAAAAATCTTGCAACCACGATTTAGGTATCGGAGGAACAGTAGTGCAAAGACTTGCAGAAAATATTAGTAAAGGCAGCGAAATATTTATTTACCGATATTTTACTTCGATAAAACTACTAGAGTTTTTGCTGGAAAATGGAATATATGCTACGAGCACGATTCAACAAAACCGAATCCCCAAAGAACTGCGAACAAAACTTTCAACCGACCATGATCTTCTAAAAAGAGGCAGAGGTACCTTCAATGAATTTGTGAGAGAAGATGAGAAACTAGCAATTGTAAAATGGATGGACAGTCGATCGGTTCTAATGGCGGCCACGTCGACTGGAGCACGACCACTTATATCTGTTCGTCGATGGGATAAGAAAGCCAAAAATTACATAAATGTCAATTGTCCCCGTATTCGTAGCAAGTTACAACACGTCAATGGGAGGCGTAGATCTTGCGGACAGGTTGATATCCTATTACCGTATTAACATCAGAACAAAGAAGTGGCCCACACGAGTTTTTTGGCATATGGTTGATCTCGCACTGTGTAATTCCTGGGTTCTTTATAAAAAAGACAAATTTTCCTGTGGTGTAAGGAGGTGCGAGTTGATGGACCTATTAGATTTTAAGATGTACGTAGGAGAATGTTTGTCCGCATGTGCTGGTAAAAGAAGGCTAAGTGACATCGAAATCGAAGACGATGTCTCAACAAAAAGAGTTAGGTCCATACAGCCCCTACCCCCAAAAGATGTGAGAAGGACTGAAAATAGACACTTACCCATCTGTGGGGTCCAGGATAAAAACAAATTTATGAGATGCCGTAAAGAAGGATGTAACCAAAAAACCAGATTCAAATGCGTTGTAATGTGTTTTTGTGCATTGCCAGCGATAAACACTGTTTTATGGAATTCCCTTCGTAAGAAATTAGTACTAAGTTAACCGTTTATTGAAATTAACTGAATGTTTTAAAATACTCTTAATTTAAAAATTAGTTGCTTTTTCGTTGGCATACGATCCAAATGTCCAGCTGGCTGCACCTGCCAGTGCTAAGAATCCTTATATGCTACAATTAAAAAAAATGGGTTTTCTAATTATTTGGGAAGAATATAACGCAAAAACATGATTTTTTTTTTAGTTTTTCAATTATTTTAGTCTCGGGACTGAGGAGGATATGTATGTATGTATGTATTTACATGTGTGCATTAATCCGAGTGAAGGCTTGTTAAAAAAAAAAATAGTGTTGTTAATATATTAAAGTAAAAGAAACTACAGCTAAAAATTTAACGCACAAAAAGAATCTCAAATTCAAGCACAGTAAAGAAATATGTTAAAAAAATAACAAAAAGTTAAACAAATAAAGAACGTTCAAATATTCAAATTCAATAACACACTCAGTATGCTATAGTGCAGCAGAACACCCTAATGCTTGGGTTGGACATGAGAATAATTAAATTAATTAGACACATACTATCGTGGCAATACAAGCAATATGTACCAATTGACAGACTTCACTTGAAACGGTGGATTTATGTATGTAGAATGTAGTATAAGCAACTGCTTTCTTATTTTGCTTATGTGAAGTCAGAAACCGTGATCTTTAAACCTACTTTCCTGATTAAAGGCAAATATGAAGGAAAATGATTCTTGGTGAAATTGCCAGTAATTAAGTTTGAAGTATAGTTGACTTTCTTTCGTACATTAATCGATTCAGTTGAACAAAAATATATTTTTTTTTGGTTGTCGCCAGAAAACTCTGGTTAAATTACCACAATTCTCGTTTCACAGACAACGGACGTTAAAAATAGAAAATTTGTAGCTAACTAAAAAAATTTTACCAACTAGATACATACACTAGGGTGCATATAAAAAAAAATCGGGGCTTCCACCGGAATTAATTAATTATATGTATCTTAAGACTTTCTTCAAAGTATTTCGGAAAAATATTAACATGTACGTAAGCTAGACCGATTTGAAAATATCTCCGAAAAATCTTATCATTTTTATGCAGACCTTTTAAGTGATTTTTTTAGAAAAAGTATTTTTATAAACTAATTTTATTTACAGCAAACTCGATTTTCGGATGTACTTTTTCAAATAGGTCCCGCTCTCGTAAAGCTTAATAGTTTTCCCAAATTTTTTTTGCGGAAGTTTTAAAATATAATAGATTTTATATTTCCGATGAAAAAACAGTACCGATTATCTTTTTATGTGGAGTGATGCACCAAACATATATACTATGATGTATATAATCTCTCCTTCACAAATTGAATCAAAAATTTTTTTCAAATTTATGACTCCATCCAAAGTATATCGTACCTTTGCTGCAAGAGCATCATAGTCAGGTAACGGATTTTATGGAAGTTGCCTTTTTCTCTCCTAGTAAGAGTAATTGCGATTAAAAATTATCACGACTTAGCTTTCCTTGATTCCAAATATACACATTAGATGTTGCCTTTTTTGCGTTTAATTAAGTGGCTACTTATTGCTTATTCATATAAAAAAAAATATATATATAGAAAAATATTAACCCATATTCGAAAATAGCGCTACGAAAAATTAGCATATAAAATAGTGTCAGTATATTTAAATTATTTGGATAAGATTCAGATGCGGCTTATATACAGAAGCAGGGGCCTGCTGTCAAACTGGTGGTGAAAAGCCGTTTTTGTAGCAAACGAAGAATGGTATAAAACAAAGAATTTTTGGTAAAATAAATATTTCTAAAATTAATGTACATTTTTGTGTATTTTTCGCTTTTTAATGCATTTTCTCCTTGCTTTTTTCGCCATTTTGAATGTCAATTTTGTTATTTTATTTTGAATTTTTTATAGGTTTTAACTCCAAAAAATTCGTTACCTGGTCATAATCCCAAAAATTAATAAGTCGAGAAGAACGGCTTTAAAGTTTTCAGTTAAAATATGCTCCCGTTTTTGTGAGCTAGATCATGTGAGAAACCTTATAAAATTTTATACCGAAGAAAAATACCTGCATAGTAAAAATTGTTCCCAGGCATTAAATATAGTTCAAGTTTTAATATGATTTAACACAATTTCGTAACAATGTAAATCACAAAAACT